CTTTCTTTCTTTCTTTCTTTCTTTCTTTCTTTCTTTCTTTCTTTCTTTTCTTTTGCTCATAGCTATAAAGTTTCTTTGAGGACTGCCTTAGCTTTCTTTAACCAGAGGATGTGGTAGGGTATAGTATTGGTTTTTGTTGTTCTTTCTGGGTTTTTAAAACAAATTTGTCCTTGACCTCTTTAATGCTCCACTACTTATTCCAAAGAACATTATTCAGTCTCTGTGTATCTGTATCATTTGAGGTTTCTCTTGCTCTTTGTCTGCACATTTATTTATTCCATTGTGGCCTGAAAAGATTAAAAAAAAATAGTCCCAAAGGGTTTTTGTTATGGAAGAATTCGTTAGTGTCATATGATGTGATAAATACAAAGATCTATATAAATATTAGAATAAAGTAGTGGAAGTCTCCTGCTATTGTTATGCTGGTACCTATGAGATCTTTTATTTCTTTTAGTGTTTATTGTATAACACACAATATGCAGTGCATGCATATTTATGGTTGTTTTATCTGCTTAATGAAAGTTCCCTTTGTTAATATGGAAGGGCCTTCTTTATCTCTTCTGACTAGTTTTGTTCTCATGTCTACATTAGCAAGCATAATTAATGCTATGCTTGCTTATTTATGGTCTCCATTGGATTGGTAGGTTGATTTTCATCCTTTCACACTTAGTTTTTCGATGCCTTTGCTAGGGAAGTGAACTTTTGGAGATAACAGATAATTGAGTCTTGTTTGTAAATCCAGTCAGCCTGTGGCTTGTTAGAAAGTTAAGAACATTTTTATTTAAAGTTATTGTTGGGAGGGGCTTGTTAGTTCCTGCTGTTTTGGTGCTGTATTAGTGTCGTTCTTTTCCTCCTATTGTAGTAGTATTGGAGGTTTGTTGGTTGACTGTGTTGGACAGGGTTGATTCCCCTACCATTTCTTTGTGTGTTCTTCTCGTGGCATGAATTCTTTCATGTGTTCTCATGAATGAATCAGTCTCAGTTTTCTCACACAGAATTTGTAAATGAGACATGTACATGTACATTGTTATAAACAATAATAATGGTTTATGAAACTCAATTCTGATGGTTGAAAATGTAAGTTATTGATAGAAATTAAATTTGTGAAACATTAAACAAAGTGATTCATATGATTGTGATAAGAAGAGGAATATATATATGAAAAATGTTGGGAGGGAAAAGAAGAGTTAGAAGTTAAAGGCCAGGTAGAGAGCTGTTGAACAACCAGCCTGAACCAGTGACTGTGAGAGGGAGGAGCAGTAGAATTGCGTGGTGTGACTGGCTGAAAACAGGGCTCTCGTGGTAACAGAGCGGGGCAGCATAAGCTACCACTGGAGGAGGCTAGAAACCTGTGCTCTGCAACTGGCCAGTCCTGGCAAATGTTGAGAGAAAAAGGAAAGGATTTAATGAGGTAGCAGTTGTTACTATTAGGACTTGAAAGTCTATTTCCAAATAGAATTGACTCTTCAATGTTCAACTCAAATCAGCCTGCACGAAAATGACATTCAGTCCTCTCTTGACATGCTGTTGTTATCTGTTTAATAATTTTCTGTGTCCTACTCTTTGTATTACTTTAGTTGATTAGTAGATGGATTATTTTAAGTTATTAATTGAATAAATAGTGAAAGTCTTTATTTATAGGTAATACTGTCCATAATGAAAACATATTGTACAGTAGTTCCATCCACAATAAGGTAGGTTGTGTCCATTTTCATTTTTTTTTAATGCAAAGGAAGACTTTATCTGCTGGGGAACATAAAAATTTTCCATAATGTCTGCTCTTTAATCCAATGTGAATCAGAAAAGTTAGATAAGTTAGTGTTTAAAATCCATGAGCAATGACATAAGGAAATTTATAATTTAGGAAAAATGAAAATAAAACTCTTGGAGGGAACAGTGTGGCTAGATTTAGTGTGTCCATGAAAAATAAATATGAGAGAAACCGAATATATCTGTTCTAACAATATAAAGAAACGAGAATTTTATTCTGGAATTATAGTCCTTTTGGCCAATGTATAGGAAACTTATAGCCCCATAATAATGATTTAGCAAATCTGTAGCATTTCAGTCGTACATAAGCAACTGCTAAGAGCGTAAGAAGAACCTTAGGCCGGGAGACCACAAATGAAAAATCAAGATCCTTCAAGACATCGTAGTGATCTTCTCTATGAAGCCCACATTATTTTACCTATCTGCACATGTGACACAGGAAATGAGAGCTGTGCTTAAGAATGACATTGCCCTTGCATTGCTTGCTAAGAATACAGGCTTAAAAGTCCTTGGTAAACTTTCTAATGAAATCATTTTAGTTTTCCAAAGTTGTAGTAACCCTCTCAGCCCTCTTGTTTCAGATAAATAATACATTAGGAAAGTCATTCACACAAGAATGAATTAGGGTGTGTGCATGTCTAGATTTTACAGCCCACTAGAGTGTGCACTATAGGCTCTTTAGTCATTGGGATGCAGAGTTGGAGGCTGCAGTGAAGTGCGAGAGTTTATCAAAATGCCTTATCAGAGAGCCTCATTAAAAAGAGCCTCATTAAAATGTACTTTTTAATACATATAAATTTTAAGCTATATATGTATACTTAAAATACAAAACATATATAGTTACTTTTTGAAATCCATTTTTGCAAACATGAGAAATGTTGGCTAAGAAAAGAGTGTACCAATGGTTAATGGTTTACCCTTAAAATTGAAGCAAACTTTGAGCCAAACATGGTGCATAGGTCTTTAATCCCAGCACCAGAGAAGCCAAGGGAAGAAAGGATCAGAGTCCAGGTCAGCCTAAATGACACAACGAAATCCCGCATCAAAAGGAATTAAAGCCTAAGAGTCTGGTATAGCTGAGCTTTACTGCAATTGTTTCCTTTAAGTTACAGGGCTGTCAACCAGTTAACTTACAAATGGATTTTTTCCCCAGGATCATGAAAGGCAACTATGCTTTATCAGGTTTCCTTGTTGAGCCTTAAAATGGAAAAGCCTTAGTTCTCTATCACTTTTTATTATTAATTTGTAGTTTCCTGCTCGACTCCAGGTTGAAAAGGAGTTTGGTTTCTGCTGCAAGAAGGATCATTAAAGAAGGTAACACAGTAGCTGTTTCTTAGGAAACCTGAACTGGGAATGTTGTGGGTTTCAATCAAGCATTAAAAGAAATAGGTGTCTTTAAATGTTTCATTGTCTTCTCTTGAAAGACTAAATACATTTGTTTTTCTGAGCTGAAGAGAAATGTTTCTTAGAAAGATTTATAGATGAGGTGATTTGAAGCTAGATAATAAATGTCTAATTGATGATTCATCATTTCCTAATCCATTTCCTGTAATCTTATTTTCAGATTATTATAATTAAAACTCAAGAATCTGCAAACATTTTTCTGTATAGATGAAGTAAGCCTGCTTACGGAGTACCTGGTCTCCAAGGCTAATCCACGTGTATAAAGGACACAAGCATGCCTTTGAATTTCAAGGGGTGTTAGCACCACAAAATTTTGATACTATGCTACTTCTGGTGGGTATAACAGATGATGGAGACATAGAGCATTCTCTGAAAATCCATTCATTTTTACTACACCTTTTGCCTATCTTTCCCATCTTGAAAATTAAAGAAAAAAATTCATCAAAGTTAAATGTGGCCCAGCACCGTTATGGAACCAAGCTATAGAGATCATTCTTCCTACTGTCCTTCTCCTTCAAATAAGAACTTATTATTACATATTTGCTCCTTCGTATGACAATCTGCTGTATGCCTTTCTCACAGTTAAGGCCACAATGTTCTTGTTATAGTGTGTTTTCAGATAGCTTCTTTTAATTAGTTCTTATTTGCAAGGGCCTTTGAAATGTATTTTTATTTACATTTGCCATAGCTGATAATATTTTGTTTTTCAGTGCTACGCAAGCACTCTGCCAGTAAGCCCTATCTTCAGCCCCTCTACGTTGTTTTCTGGAGTCATGTTGGCATTATTAATTAATGGCGTGCAATGTGATATTCAGAACATGTTCGCACCACATACTGGCTGCGTTCATCTCACCCTCCCTGTCCCTGGGTCTTTACTAAAATGTCTCTCTCTCTCTCAAATTAAAATTTTTACAAATTGTGTTTCTTTTTATTATTAAGCACCTGTGATTTCATCCACCTATTTCTCAGAAGCAGCTCCTCAGCTTAGACTGAAGTTTACCACACTGACTTTTCATGTAAAATTCTACCAATAAAATGAATCTTTAAAACTATTTCTGATTCTCCAAAATACGTTTATCAAGATTAACCACTAAATATTCCTTTTTGTCATCTTAAACTACCAAACAAAAAATATAGTTAATTTCAGTAGATGGGACTAACTTAATAGGACAAATAGAAATGATTGTTTTTCTAGTTTCCGAACAGTGATAGGAGCGACAGGAATATCAGATCATGATGGCCCTGACCTAATCTATGGTTTAATCCACTGAGTAAACCATCAACATGGGTGGAATACAGGGCTTTAGTGTGTTGCTGGGGACAATCCTCTCATGTAGCCTCTGTTGCTTAAGTACCATGAGGCAAGTACCTTGCATTTTCTCTTGCACACACCCTTCTTCCATGATGTTCTGACTCACAGGTCCAAACACCTAGAACCAGTGACCCATATACTGAGGCCTCTAAAGCTGTCTGTAAGTAGCCCCTCCTACCCTTCTGGGACATACACTGAATGTTTGATCTCCAGCTGGTGGTGCTATCTTGGGAGGTTCTGAAAACTCTGGAATGTGGGGCCTCGCTGTCGGAAGTGGGTCCCTAAGGGAGCACTTGATCTTAGGTCTCTTCCTCTTTCTCTGCTTCCTGTCAGCCAGGAGGTCAAGAATGTCCTCTGCTGCACACTCCTGCCAGCTTCATGTTCTGACTCAACACAAGCCTAGAATGATGGGAGCTGAAAACTACAGCGAAACCTCTGAAACTTCCAGCAAAACAAATCTTTCCTCCCCTAAACTGCTGTCATGGGTGTTCAGTCACAGCTTTAATAGAGCTGGCATAGCGCACTGTTATCTTGTTAGCTGCCCAGACATCCATCAGTATGGTTAAAGTGAACAATGATTAGATTTTTTTCAGACTGCTTCCAGGTTCTCTTATATTTTATTTAATTTAGCAAAGTCAAATTTGACTGCTGGATATGGGGGGAGTTGTTACAGGGATTTTGCTGGTGTTTTAATCTACTGGGAATTTCATTACAAATTAACTCCTCAGTCATTTCTTTTTTTTTTTTTTTTTTTGCATTTACTTCTGGTACTGCCTCTCAATTTAGCAACTGGCTAGAAACAGCTAAAAACATCTCTTGGTCTTATATTAGAGTTTGACATAACAAATGTTCATGCAAGAATATAGATTGATCCCACACGTTTATTGTAGCATCTGGGCCATGTTTGTTTTTGTAGGGCTGAGGAGAGGGAAGGAAGGATTCTTATGTTGGTAAACTAGAAACCTAAAAACAACACTTCCCATCTGGGATTGCTTTGATGAAAGCATAGCCCTCTCTATTAATTACTAAAATGCAGTATCATCATGAAGTAACAATGATCTCTGTGATTTAGACTTCAGACCAGTGAGAATAAACACTTTCATTTAAATAGAGTTGTATTTATTTACTATGAAATTCAGCAAACTTCTAGAGTTTATTGAAGAAAATGCATTTATACATTTAGCCCATACAAGCACAAAGAAGTTACATAAACCCAACATAATTAAAGCAATTTATATAGGACATAAACTTCATGACATTTATAGTCAACTTGCAAGTAAAGCAGGCAACTAACAGAAATAACTTGTAGGGAAAAAAAAAACACTTATGTGGTTTGCACAGCTCCAAAATACCAGTCTTTAAATATGTACCATTCCACCACAGTGCCAAGAGGAGACTAGAAGACGACACAGAAAATATGGCCTCAATTTAGAGATTTGGTAAAAATGTAAAACAAAGACCTACTTTTACAGTTTCTGTTGTCAAGAATCATCTCGGTGTTACCAGCACTGTAATTTCAGTAACTCCATTGAAGAATACCATTTCAAAGAAGGAGCATCTTTGCATAGCCCTACTGGATATCTGACACATGCTACTGGAGCTGTAAAACCTTCTGAGGTCAAGAAATGCTCAAGCTTTCCCAGTGTACAATGTAGCTTGTTAAATATGGAACTGCTGCTGTGTTTTTCATGCCAGTGAACAACGGCATGGCAAGCTGTCTGGCTACCTAAGGTCAAAATCAGAACAGAGCCTGGCCAATACTACTTTCATGGAATAACACTAAGCCCCGTTTCTTCTTAACCCAACAATCCGGATGGACCTTAGCACCTTAGCTCACACTCCCAGCCAACTACTGAGCAGGGATGTGTGTCTAATGATGCTGTGCTCTAAACATGCTCTTGACAGGGTTGTTATAATGAACACTAACCCTCCACAGGAACTGAACACAAGTCTCTGGCAAGGATAGGCCCTCATGCAGCGGAAAAAAAAAACAAACAAACAAACAAATAGGTAGGAATCTTGACTAGTAGACCTGGTGGTGGCCTGATTTAGAAATGTGTGGATAAAGAGCACCAGCAGCAGCAACTAATTCCATCTGTGCTTCGGAATCAAGTCTCAGGTATATTTTGAGAAAGAGTGATCTTTCTTAAGCCATCTCTAACACTAAGTTGATTATTCGAGGATTTCTACACATATCTAATCCATTCTGGTTAGTCTCTTCCATATGCTCTGATTCTCCCTCCCACACCAATCACTCTCCCTTCTCATGTCCTGTCCCTTTTCGGATTCATGATTGTTGTTTTCTGACTAGTTTAGCTCAAAAGGGAGTATCTCTGTGACTATTGGCTTGAGACTCTCCATTATGTATTCAGTGGCTACATAACTAAAACTGATGATTTTCCCTTCCCTGAAACTATAGTATATGGGTCAATAGTGAAGTGTAGGATTCCTTGAGTTCCTCCTTGATCAGTGCCTGGCTGCTAGTGGCTCCCATTCTTGGCAAACCCAGTACAGTCATCTCCAGTTGTGTTATCCCTCCACCCTCCCCCTCTTTAAACTTTCCCACTGGCTCTGATCCCTCTTTCTACTTACATAATCACTATGTTCACTGTCCCCTCTGTTAAGGCCTCATCTCTCCAGTGGCTTCCCTCTAGTTCTTTCTATAGGATTCCTGCTTACACACACAAAATTAGATGTTCAAGCCGGGATTCACATATGAGGGAGAACATTCAGTGTTTAATTTTCTATGCCTATGTTGCCTTGCTCAACTCCAGGGCAAACTTTAAGGAATTTAAATTACTGTGATTCTCACAATAATTTATCTTAACCCATGTGCTTTCATCTTTTGGAAGTGACCTTATCTCTACAGAGAACAGTCAACTCTTTTTCAGGAAATTCCAAGAGAAGAGTCTAGACAAATTAAGTGTACCCAGATTTGATACTGAAATAAAGGATGAAAGAAAAGATCTGGCTCAAGTGGACAAGAGATACAGTTATCTCAAAGTCAGTTTCTTTCATCCTTTTTAAAAATTGTTCCTAGGACACAGTTTTTAATTCTTAGAAAGATGTCATGGTGATACTTGAACTACCTTCCCAATGCCTTCTCATAACTTTTCAATTGCAGAGTGAAAGCATTCTGTCCCAGCGAGCCCTAACTGGAGGAAGGGAACAGAGCCCAAGAGTCAGTTCAGGGCATCTTATTTCAGCCTTGCTCTCCAGGCTTTCTGATCTGCCATTTTTTAGCAGCAGATGAAACCTGTGGGTGTCTGCTAGCTGAGCAACCCCCTCAGGCATGTGGCCCGGGGTGTGCTCAGATGGAAAATAGAGCCTGTAAGCCTTCAGCGCTTCCTCCAGATGGGTCGTGATTAGAGCTGGTGCATTCTATCACAGTCTTTGGGAGGACAACCAGTCTTCTTCTCACTCAGGACTGATACACACAAACTCTCTCTCTCTTGCCCACCCAAGCTCCTTCCAAATAGGCTGGAGGCTGTACACGCTCTAACAACTGCCCTTTATTATAGAGGTATGAAACGATTCACTACTTGGTAAACATATTTTGATACAAAGTTTTAATAAATACATCAGGGAAAATAAATTATAAATAGCACATATTCTGCACAGCCTGAGCTATGTGACAGTGACTGGTCACGATTCTCAGACAAATTTCTTTTGATTACATATTGGAAAGACCACATAAATGAGCACAGTGATTTGGGTATATATTCTGGTTACAGAGTTATAAATGGATGAACATTAATGAAATACTTGCTAAAATCCTTAGGCTTCAATATAGGAACAAAATCAAACACCTTCAAACCTGCCTGACAAAGGATGAAGTTGCCAGAATTTAAAGAGTAAGTTACCGTGGGCAGAATGTTGACCTCCCAATTCTAAACTTTGTGCGTTGAAATCCTTACCCCAAAGGTGATAGCATTAACACATAGGAATCTAGGAGTACTTATCTGTTCATAAGGACTCAGCCATTGAGTCCAATGAGATCAAAGAGATCCTTTGCCTATCCATCTTAAGTGGAACTCAGCAAGATAGCCCAGCAAGAAATCTAGGACCCCATTAGACACTGAATGTACATCGATCTTGGACTTTTTAACCTCAAAAACCACAAGAAACAAATTTTTGTTGCTTACGAACCATTCTGATTATGGAATACTATTATAGTAGTCTTAGCTAGCATGGGAGGAACCACTTAGGATGGCCTTTCCCTGGGGATGGATGGCTTCAGGAAATGATAAATGAACTTTAGCTTGATGCTTCCAATCAAGACCTAAGCACAGTGTAGGGCTGGAGCCAGGCTGTTTCCTCTTATTGTGGGACTTCTCTAGTGGGTGAGCTTTGCTTTGAGTAGTTTCAAAGCCTCATCAGGACCTCTAGAGTAGCATGGAAGCCTTCATATCTTCCAGCCTTATCATTATTCCTTGTTCATCTTTTCATAGGTTCCAGGTAGGCACCACAATTTAGAAGCCTCATGCCTTGCCAGCCTCTGCATACATCTCTATTGTCCACAGATGTCCCTTCCAGTAGGTCCCCACTTTTCTCATTCTGTCACCTCCAGGAAGCCTGAAACTGATGTCAGCACATGTCAGGATCATGTGCTGATCTTTCTAGTTGAAAATAATAATAATATCTAGATGGTTTTAAATTGATAGTGACTATGAACAACAA